GCCTTTCTATGTAGTGTATTGCCATCTTCAGGCAGTCCATAGATAAACACTGACACAGGGCTCTGCTAAACAGCCAAGAAGATAAACACAAAATTTATCTTTATCTCTGGAAATCACCAATGTTTTTGTTTCTACTGTGAGTCACGTGTTTACTTCAAAGAACTGGCGGCCATCTAGTCTGATATTCAGCAGAAAGTGTAATAAACCTCCATCATCTGCCAGATTACATGATTAGTAAAGTAAAAGTGAAACCAAACTGAATAACCTTTGGTACTTTTGTTGGCGGGGGTGCAAAAATGACACAAGACTGCTACAAAACAATCCCCTCTAAAAGCAAAGGTAAACATTAGTGATACAAGCAATTAACAAAGGCAGGAGAGCAAGAATATGACAAGTATTTTTTATTGCTTTCATGGCTTAACTGATGTGACAATTATTACTGAGTCATACAAGTTCAAACACAATCGAGTGAAGGTAATTTCCACAAGGAAGTTTAAAAAAAAATTAAAAATAAAACCGTAATATGACATAAGGGAATAGATATTTTAATTATCTCCATTGTAAAATAACAATGATTTCGCACTAAGTTATCTTTTTTAAGTTGTGTTAGTTATTATAAGCTGAACTATTTTTCTTATACCAACCAATTTGTTTGGCATCACAGACACATACTGGTGAGATGTCTCAGGTGAAGTAAATTGTCCGATAAAAGAACTGGAGCTGCGTGCAGCATCGACATGGGACACGCAGGACTGTCCCTGCCACGGCACAGCCCATGCCTAGGTCACATGGCAGCCCATGCCTAGGTCACATGGCAGCCCATGCCTAGGTCACATGGCAGCCCATGCCTAGGTCACATGACAGCCCATGCCTAGGTCACATGACAGCCCATGCCTAGGTCACATGACAGCCCGCAGCTCCTTTTCATTGGCTTCGCTCGGCTGCTTTCTGAGGGCCACTTTGGTTCCGGGGTGCGGCTTTCTGCTGCAGGGTCAGCGTGTCCCTCTTTTCTATGCGCCTCAGCTGCTTCTTCTTCATCCTCTTCATTTTCGCCGGGTTCCGGATCTGAAACAGAGCGGCGGGTCAATGATACCTGGGTCTGCTGAGATGCCATGGCTACAAATAAGCGGTGTGACATTAAAAGTGCCAGTTATACGCCAAACCGTAAAGGTTAACAGAAGGAAACAGGCCAGCTGAGCAGCTGGGGGCGCAGTGAGCTGCTAAGTGTTACAGGTAAATGTGACTGGATGAAGGCTGCTGGGGGGCAGCCAGCAGCAGTGCCGGTGTGGCTGATACTTCCTCTTGGCTCAGCCCCCAGCAGTGGGGCCTCCTTACCACTTGCACGATCTCCGCTTTCCTTTCATTCTCCTCTCGTCTTCTCAAGCTTTCCTCCCTTCGCTTCCTCTTCTCCTGAGCATTAGAAAGGTAACAGTAAAATGAGCAAAAAGACAGACAAAAAACAAGCAGCAGCACTAGAGGTCGACCGATCGATTAGGCAGAAAACAGACGATTTTTAGGCATTTTATGGCAGTCGGCATCCGCTGATTAATCGGGATATGTGACTGATGCAGCAACGGCTCCGCATGGCTGCATGATTGATGCGTGGCTGCGGAGCACTCACTGCAACGGTGTTGTAGTGTGGTGACTTAAGAGCCACGTTGTTGGCACTAGAGAGATGGATGGATTGACTCCAAATTAGGCAAGCGAGTACTCTGGACTGGCCTCCGTCACGGTGCCAAATTACGAAGGTGAAGACTGGACCAAATTTGTGGCCTGTGGAAAACACTCAAATTTTCACTAAAAATCCAATATGGCGGCCGGCATGAATTAGGGGGACTCAAAAATTCCCAAGCGTCAGCTTCGAGCAATTCCATAAATTTGGAAAATATAAGATTAATTTAATCGATCTAAGGCAAACACATCAACAGTTATTAGCCAAAATGTATTTTTGCTTATTGCTGCGCCCCCTACTGGTGGAATGACCCCATTTTGCTGAGCTTCCTCAGAATTGGGTCCCAAGTCCCACTCCCAAATTTGGTTTTGATGCATCAAAGTGTTGCTGAGATATGGCCTCACATCCTGTTCGGTGGCTTTGTCATCAGATTCATTGGACAACAATGGCCAAAGCATCTGACTCTTTGAATAACTTTTGGTCCTAATCCTTTGTAAATGATGTACACCAAGTTTGCTGGTGATTGGATCAACAGCATAGGACATTAACAGCAGTGGGTGCATTCGAATCAAGACAACCTAAGGATTCAGAGGAATCACAAATCAAGATCACAAATCTAGGCCAAAAAGTTCAAAAGTTATAAGCAAAAATATATCTTGAAATTTTTATTTATTTATTTATTTGTGATTATTTGTCATTGTTGACACACCACAGTGCACAACAACGAAATGTGTCCTCTGCATTTAACCCATATGTGACTTTCGTGACATAGCAGGGGGCAGCTAATTCAGCGCCCGGGGAGCAGTGCTTGGGGGTTGTACCTTGCTCAGGGTACCTCAGTGGTGTCTTGCTGGTCGGGGATTTGAACCTGCAATCTTCCGATTACGAGTGCGCTTCCCTAACCATTAAGCCACCACTGCCCCAAATTTGGCCTGATGGTGGCGCTACAGGGATAGATGGATTGGCCCCAAATTTGGTGTATGAATAATTTGAACTGACCTCTATCGAAGTGCCTAATTTTAAAAAAAAGTTACCAATTGGTTCTATGGGTTGCCATAGATATAGTAGAATAGTGAAAAATGCCAACAAAAACAATAGGTGCCCTTGTACCTACAGTGCTTGGCCCCTAATGATGATAATACATTTATTTCAGACCTAAGTGGCATACGAATTTAGGGGGGTCACGGGGATATTTTTCCCCCCCAGCCCTCCACCTACCCCCAACCCTCAAAAAAATCAGCATTGGAATTGACCCCTATCAGCCGACCCTTAGGTAGTACAGTCCAGCTCTCTGACACCGCACCTCCTTCTCTCGCGCCTTCTCCTCCTTCAGCTGTTGGGCATATTTCTTCACAAGTTCCTTCTCTCGTTTCGCCTCCATCTTTTTGTCCCATGAGGAACGCAGCGGTTTGTCCCGCAACAGAGAAGAAAACCTGAGAGTGAATTTGTTTCATACAGATTAACATTAGACTTCACACTAGCATGTTAAGCATTAAAATTAATCCCATGTAACAGGGCTCTTCAAATCTGCACCTCGATTCCAAATCCAGGACTTGTTTTCCGTTGTTCTAGGTAGTTAGTTTAATAATTACGGATTCCGATTGGGCACAGAGGCTCACGGACAAACGAAGGCTGGAAAAGCAGCAGGCTTCGGCCGTTAAGGACCGTGATTTGAATAGCCCTTTCATATAGCAATACATTATCCATCTTTTGCGCCCCCTACTGTCACTAGTATGTCAATTAGGATTTCTACATTTCAGTGATGCATGGCTACTCCTAAGACTTTACTGATTCCAGGGGGGAAATCGTGCGCATACATGCATATACAAATAAAACGTGCAAACAAATTGTGAAAAAGTACACAGTACAAACAGATGATATCCCGAAAATTGAGGAAACCACAATATCACCAGTGTCGACTCATTGGTATTCAAATGTTATGAACAGGGTAAGGGTTTGAATTTTCATATATGGAAACGGTTCTGTGTAAATGTAACGGCGACGGTACCTCTGCTTGTTACGGTTCTTCCACACACGTCCGGATTTGGGCTTCCCTATGGGTATCATGTGGCCCTGCTTGCCCCCCGAGTGGGAATTAGCACTAAGTTTCGTAGCGTTACTAACTGTCTTCACAGACATGCTGCTTCCGTTCTCACTGCCCCCATGCCCAGGGTCTGCTGCTGAGTCTGCTGGTTCAGTGGCTTCCGGAGCGACTCCGACCGGCGGCTCTTTTGAAGGACTACTGGGCTTATTGGCGTCGCTTCTGATTATTTTAGCTTCGGATTCCGAGCCTGTGTCTGTGTCCATATTCGTGATGCATTCCTGCGGTGCTGCTGTATTGCCCGATGATTCGGACTCAGTGACCCTCTGAACATCGCTCTTTAAACGAAGCCTAGAAGTTTTAGCCGGACTTGGAGCTTCAGAGTCCAGAAAGGAACTGGGAGCTCGGATCTGACGGCCGCTCCGCGTTCGCATCGCAGCAGGAGCGGACACCTCGCTCCCGGGGTCGCCCTCGACCTGCGACACCGATGATTCTGGGTTGGAACAACATTCATCCTGGCTTTTTTGCTGTCGTTTCGGCATGGTTCTCAAACCACGCAACAACACGGTGGAAGACCGGCCAAAAATACACGTGTGACCCGGCAACACTCCACAGTAACACGTGTGTTACCTCCAATACCATAGAAGCGAACAGAAGAAGGGATTCTTAGTGCTGCCGCCTAATGTTTTTCCAAGGTATGGCAACCAAGTGAGACTATCGGGAAAGCAAGTAATAACAGATCCAAACCCAGACTGCCGGGACGTTGGCTTAAAATCAGAATGTCGTTCTATTTATTAACAATATGTAAATTATTACATAAGCTAATGTGTGTTTCAGCGAGCGCGTTATTTAAATAATTTAAAATTAATAACCTTAGCATAATCGCTTGGCCTATTATTACTGTTTCTGTCATGTTCTCAATATGTAAAATAAACGCATGTGTATGGTTTTAAACAGCATGTCTAAATACATACGCAGCATGTCTAAATACAT